ATTTGATTCAATGACGATAATATACTGCATATGCATATATCGTCGGCATTCCAATACACGAGCACTAAGATGCAAAACATTTGGTGAATACTTGTAATGTTACTTACCAGTTAAAATTTTGGCTGTTGTTTTCAGCCACAATCCAAACATACATGGCCGTCATATCCAGGATGAATGCCAACACGAGAAAAATAAAGAAAATCCACTCCATCTGGTATTTGCAGAAATATGAATAAATTGGCATAACTGATAGTAACACATCAAGGTAAATTGTATTCTAAACCAATGGGTTGTATTAACGTGACGCATTACGTCATGCAAAGCAGGTAAGCGATTCTTTAATAAAATTAAACAGGTGGGCTGGAGGATTTTGAAAAAAAAATGTCGAAAATGAAGACAACAACATGTAAATGTCCATGAGCAAAATGTAAGGAAATGGAAGGAAATATGAATAAAAAATATCATATCATCATCATCATCATCATCATCATCATCATCATAATCATCATCATCATCGTGCGATTACGTATTTGTGCATTACCTATTATACTCACCAGAGTCGTGTGACTTGTCGATCGATGGGCCACGTTCCATCGGCAACCCAATGAACTGGTGACGCAGGTAATACAACAATGGTTACTCATGGTTACCACGGAAAAGGTTTTTGCGTCGTTCTCGGCTCGACTATAGCAGAATACATTCACCTATTACCCGGTATATTATTTCCGCCAAACTGATACATTAAAAAACGATAACATCAGTAAAACTTAATATTGAAATAAAATAATATTCTGTAGATATGGGTTTTATTTTTGCTTGACTCAAGTCACGTGTGTTTAAACATACCTCCTCCTAATGCTCGTGCATTTATGTGAGGGCGCCACAACTGTTACTAGGTGCGCATATATACAGTACCGTGTAGGCGTACCCTCACGATGTGCCTACACGCGTTGGAAGAGTTTAGCTCGGTGTTACTAAGTACACACCATCTAGTAGTACCGTAATATTTTGGTCTATTCTATACCGTAATCTAGTTCATATCCACCCAACCAAGTTCAAATGGAATTTCTGAAACGAGGTGATAGATGCACAATTCTCGTGAAATCATGGGCTCTATATCTGTGCGGAGCGGTGACGGTGCGATGATGTGTTCGCAACATCTGTTGCCGGGTAATAAAATGAGCATATAGTGAAAACGGTCATCATTTATAATGGCGCGTCAAGTACCGTTGAATTTAATCCATCCCATCACGGTTAATAAAAATAGAAACCGTATTTCCATACGTATTACAAGTAAGTGTTGAACACTGCGTATCAAGTACGTCTCCAATGGTATATCAAACTGAGGGGGAGGTAGTCGGATTGGCCTAAATGTAATCCAACAATCTAAAAATGTACCCAGCAGGTCATTGTGAGGTAAGAGACTATAATTTAAACATTAACAACCGTTACAATGATGACATGCTTTAAAAGTGATGATAATAATAGATATCACGTGATCTGTAACCCCCACGAATACCTGCATGCAGATTAACTGAGTGACGACACCGCCCCACTAAATATATTCTATGCGTTAATTCAAAACTAACACGTGTGTTAACACATGTATGACGGTTTGTACCACGGTATTTCGTTAAATAAATAATTCACCCGTGTGCTCATCGCGACCGTGGCGATAGCTGCGCGGCGGCGCCGATTGTGATGAATAACTTAGGAGCAAAGTCGACATCAGTACATTGATAAAAGTTAAATAAAGAGATAATTGTTTACTTAATCTTATAGTCATACCTGGCCAGGACACAGCGCGTTCATATAAACCTATCCCATGTCCAGCGAGGAGATGTGTGTTTATAATTATCTATGTACACAGTTCAGCACCATATTGCGACCTCGATGTCTGGTTATTTATACACATGTGAGCAGCGCATGCGTGCGCGTTTGTATTATATATACATGTATATATATATACAATGAAACATGAGAAAATACATGGACTATCACCACGTTAGATTATATCGAATCATAATTTAATCGATTATATTTTATCTTTTATTTCTGTGTTAATTATATCTTGGTCAGAGGCAGTGCTGATAATACATGCATTTACTTCCGAATAGTGCATATATAATAACGCGTGTCATATAACAATTAAATTTCTGACTACACTCAGTGTGTTCTAGGCAACACCATTAGACCCGCATCAATCCAACCGAGTTTAAATACAAATGACGACACAATCACTAAATTTCGATTAATCGTAAACGCAAGGCCAAAATCGTGTTTTGATAAACAAGTGACGCCCTCCAGTGGCGAAGCGTTTCTGGGAGGATGGAAACATACAAAATACATGCTCGGTTATGTCGTCATTCGTTTTTTAGACTATGGTAAAGCTCCACTGCACCGACAAAATCGGAAAATCGCAGAAAAGGAACTCTGCAAATAACGAAAATGAATACAAGCTTTGGAGTAACAGCTGTAGACTTGCATCATACAGTCTCTTGTTCGTTTTTTTGGTGTGTTTTTCAATAAAATAAAATATCACTAAATGGTTACCAGGCTACAAACAGAAGACTGTATGGAAGTTTGCCACAGCTGTAGTGTATATCTGAGTCAATGGAATTTAAACAGGGTAGGTGAATGGTGAGAAAAATTCGGTGCGGCAAAATTTTGCAAGTCAGCAGCCTGAGAAATTTGCTCACCAAATCAAATAACGAATCCTTCACAATAAGTCCAGATTGACTAACAGAAATACAAATATATTCTACAAGACTGATATATTACCCATAATGCAAGGCGGGCCCCTAGCTCACCGTTGCAGTGAACATTTTTCTTGTGACGTCACATAAATTAGACAGTCATCGGTATAGAACTACATGTACATATGACATTTCTAACTGAGAGAAAGAAACAATATTTACCGAAAATTAACTGCTTCAAAATTAATAGCTATCTTTTTTATTCAAAATCGTTCATGAAATGATGAATTATTCTATTTGTATTCCATGTTTATGATTTCATTTAATACACTAATTCTATATTTTACTTTAATATCTGCTGCTACACTTTCTAAGATTTGTGCTTTATTAACAAGCATATTAAAAACATAGTAAATATCATAGATGTAGGTTATTTCTACTAGGTTACCAATAACGATTAATATAGAAATAGTATCGCGTGACCCTTTTTGTACTAGGTACTCTGTTCTCATTTCTTTGATTTTGTTGGGTTTAGACAGGTTTCCGTAACTATATATTTTCAAAATGAATACGCTGTTCTTTTCATTGTCATGGTTATGTTTTATTGCGTAAATACAAGTGATAAAAACAATCATACTAAAGTAGGGATGTGTGTGGCAAACTGTGTGTACCACAATGTGGTGCCGTCATTTAAAGCGAGGGAGTCGTCACCTGCGCATGCGGAACACGGCCATAGCGTGGCATTTCGTTTTTAGCATGCGTTGTTATACTAGTAGTCACTTTGGACTCAATTCCCGCACAAGCGCACGTGACAACACTTCGCTTTAAATGACTTATTCGAAAATAGATCTGCGTTCAGTCATTTTCAATGCGCTATTTTCCGTGAGTGTGTAACATGTTTCTAATCACTTAAAATCAAATAGGAAAAAAAACAAAAATTAAACTGTACGTTTTACACTATCATCGTCCGAATCGCACGGTTTCACTAAAGACGGCCATTCATAACCGTCCCACGAACCCGTGCGTGATTGTGTTAGGAAAAGCTGCATTTCACTGCAGTTAAATTGAGTCATTTGATTGGGCGCACCAAAGAGCTGGCGCCACCAATCAGCGTTGCTGTATCATAAATGTGAACGTCTGGGGTCATCACAGATTAAAACAATATCGGCGTGTAGGCTTTGCGCTTATTCACCGGGCGTCAAGAACTGGAGGTCTATATTCGTTGACGCGTTTCCAAAATGTTTTATTCCAGCGTTGAAAATTGTTTGTGGGCAAGTGAACGAATATTAAACATTAACAACCGTTAAAATGATGACATGCGATCCGTATTTGTGCAATCCGCATTTTAGTAAACTGACAATCCGGTTTCGTTGCAATAAACACATCATTTCCCTCAGATACAGCGCTAAGCGCTTTCTTTTGATGGTCAGTAAACTCGTTCACAGAGCAAAAACCGAGCAACACGTTGATTTCTATATACTATGATTTTAATTTTACCGAGTAATGTGTCGTTTCTATCATGAGGTCTGATTGGGTGAAAGCAAATGAGTCCAAGTGAATCTTATAATCGTTTGAGGGCGTGTGACATACAGTAAATCGTGGTGAAACTTCCAAGGGTGAAAGCGGGGTAGTCGTCGCGCTGCGCATGTTCGACATTTGTGTTGATAAACATTGATTTTCCCACAATCCAATGCGCTCTTCAAATGGAAATCACAAGTATGAGGTTTGACCTGAGCGCAAATTGCACTGATTACCGCCGGTGAATCCTTCGAAATCATATGAAATTTACCCAATTAAAGCTTGGAAACGTGTCAGTTTGTACTCTTTGATCTGCGCAACAGTCAAAGTCGCCATCTTTGTTTATATGAGACCCATATATCTCGCACATGCGCAGCGCGACGACTACCGCGCTTTAATGTTGAAGCTATCACTGCGAGATCCCGCGTTGTGTGTGAAATCGAATGAAAAGTTGGACTAACAAGGGTCATAGCGTCGTACTGGTCGCAAAACATCGCGTGTAATTCGACAAACGCGCAACTATTTTTGACGCATTTACGATCTTAATATACTCATTTAATTATGGTAAATTTTGATGAAGTAAAGATAACTCAACGCCGTATTCCTCTCTGGGAGATGGGCATTCCGACATTGAACTATAAAATGAGAAGTTAATAAATGTTCAAAATCTGAATCATTCGAATTGGTTCGGCAGACGATCGATTCGCGTCTTTCGCGCATTACGCGAAATTTCGCAGTGAATCGAAAATCATCTATTGAATAAAACTACTTACACGTAATACAATATTACATTAACATTTTTTCGATGAACAAAAAGAAGAGCATGAAGCAAGAGAGATGCAGATGGCCATATATGCCAACAGCGCCCGCAACCGCCGTCGGTTCGACAATTTCAAAAGTAGAGGAGCACGCGCTTGCCGATACCGGTTCAACAGGATCTATTCCGGGTGGAAATGTGATGTCAACTATGCTGTCTTTATAATCAAAGTAGTAACACATCCGATATTTTCCATACGGTGTGTCGTCGGGAATATCCCATATTATCTCCGCGATACTTTGTCCGGTACCAGGGATTCCATCCAAAGGGAGGGTGAAGTTTTCTGGTAGAGTGATCGGTAACGTGGGCGGGTCATCTGGGAGTATAACGTCCGGAATTAATTCTATTAACTCAGGGACAGTCATTCGTGTTGTTGATTTCCAGTAAAACCTAAGTATTCAATTGAAAATAGGTAATTAATTAATTATATAATGCATTCATATATTAATTAATTAAATAATTCATTCATTCATGGTATCGCACAATTAAATAAATTTATACATCGCTCATGGGTGGACACACTAATTAAAGGGCGGCAGTCGTCGCGCCGCGTCCTGTTCGATATGGGACTCCTAGCGACGTATACAACGCGTGTAAAATACATTGTTTATTTACATGAAATTCGAACACGCGCTGCGCGACAACCGCCGCGCTTTAAACTGTACCTGGTGCACCAGTCGTAGTCTGTGTGGATGACAGTGCCAAAGTTGTTTACATCAAATATCTTGATAAAGGTATCTTCCAACTAGAAACAAAATCTTAGCATTATCCAAATGGAAGTTTCAGACATACATGACGTTAGTAAATGTTTAGGATGAAAGAATAGTCAAGTCATTGGTTAGTTTAGTAAAAATAATATGCAGCACAAAAAAATTATGTGAACTGGAGTAGAGCAGAGATGGTGGCCAAGGATAGACAGGAATGGAAGAACCTGATTGCAGCCTTATGTCCCGCCCGGTGTGGGATGAAGAGGACCACACCCATTGAGACGTTAATGTAGAATCACGTAGCTCACATAGTTACATGTGCTTTCAAGGGCAGATACAGGATTTTTTATGGGGGGTTCAAACTTTAAAATCGCCAGACTAAGTTAATGATTTTGTTATATTATACAAACACAATTTGAATAAATTTTCCAACAGGGGGGGGGGGGTCCGGACCGCAAGAACCCCCCTCTAGATCCGCCACTGGCTTTCTACGTAGTAGTTTAAAGGTATAGTACCCATGGAACAAAACACTGCATTGCTTCACGTGATGTCCCAAAACTAACAGTATCATATCATGACATTTCATGGATGTACGTACCTTCAAATCGTTTCTAGGGTTTCCAGCTTGGAATGTCACATTAACACGGTCACCCTGTAACGACACATACGGTATTATTTGTATGTGCATTTTGTTCACAATAAATAAAACTCGGTGTCGGCTGTGGGTCCTTTGTCACATATTGTGTCACTCTGCACAGACCCCCTAATATGACGTAATTGATTATTTAGTGAATATTTAAGTACAGAAATTAAAATATTTGTTTTGCAGCTCAAAATGTGTCTGTGCACAGTTTGACCCCAGATAGCGAAACCTTTCTGCAATTTATTCAAAGTTACATTCTGAATCTGCTTTGTCATGTGATTTCAAAATATCAGTCAGTATGTAAACAGAGTGACTGAAAGGGAATGCGTTCCGTTCCTTGGATTGTACTATGGAATCATCAGTGTTCGAGCTGATCAAAGCGTCACAAGAGTCGTGTTAAATATGGGAACCGTGCAATGTATACACATAAAAATGCATTGTTTGTTTACAAGATCTCGATCCGTTACGCATTCATCAAATACCAAGATATTTTCATTAGAAAATGAAATCTACTTAGAATTCATAAATCGTGACGCGTCTGGATAACTACCGTACAGGAATACGTGACGATTTTTGTGAGTAAAGCGAGAGGCATCCCTTATGAAAGCTACAGAAAATGAACACACACCCTTTCGTAATATGCATCAGCGTCTCGCAGAACCGTACCAAATTCTTCTCCTTCATCATCTACTATTACTGTTAATGGCCAACCCCAAACTGTACCATCTTCATAAAAATTTGGTGGTTGTGGACCCAAATCTAGTTCTTCACCCTGTGTAAGCAAAATAAGAACACATATTGTCTAAATTCAGTCTCAATGAAAAGAAAAAGGATTCTAAGAATGTTTAGGCGTGTATTAAATCTACGAAAACAGTACCGTTGCAATGGCTTGTGTCAGATTTTCGTATTGGTACTGATATGCTTCCAAGGTGTGCGGACCGTAAATGGTGGAAGCAGCTTCATAACGCTGAATCTGTGAATAAATAGACATACATGTTATACCCACAACGTAATGTAGAAGAAATCAACAACCGTGACAGAAGCTATCACCCGGGAATAAGTGTTCATGGTAAAAGACGTGATACTGGATTGAGACCAATGTGTCAAAATGTTGGCCATGTCTGGAGCTAAATTGTCAAAATGTGTATCATGTCTAAAGCAAAATTGGCAAACATTATAACCGGTCCCACACAAAATAAATACACATACTCATTACTACCAAAGAATATACACGTATAGGATGTTTCTATGTCTAAACTGGAAAGAGAGCCGATTAAAGATTTGTTAAAAATATTCTGTCCATCAACCAATGGCCAAGAAAGTATAGTCCCTATTTCAGAAAAAAACATCTAAAACGGGGAATAAATTCTAAACTCATAGTAGCTGCTGACATAGAAAGTAAAGTAAGCAAATAACACCGAATAAACGGCATGGTAAATGATACATCAAATCAAAGTAAATGGGTACTGCATGTGCGACTCAAACCGGTGCTACATATCTGGCTGTACAGGCCTTTGCAAGCAATGTCTGGCTAAGCTCTCACGCTCTCTGCACGTAATAAACTCGGTTATTAAGCGTCCTGTTTTGGAGGATGTCTGGTGGCCGTGGGGAAAATGTGTCGTTACGTAAAGCTAGGTGATTAGGTGCCGTATTTGCAACCCAGTTGAGATGTATACTAGTACAACGCTCACATACGGGAGACCATCCCCTCCCGATCACGTTTTTAGACAGGTTGTTCATACCTGATACTCTTCAAAGGTGGTAACATAGTGAGTATATAGGTTGCTCAAACCAGCTATCACAACCTCTGTGTCCTCTTCCACCCATTTGTTTTCATCAACGAGTTTCTGCGAATCGAGAGAAAATGTCATACTTTGGTGCCAAGCGAGCGCGTGCTAACTTGAACTAACTTTGATATGGAAAATCGATGCATTTGTTGTACGGAAGCCACTATGAAGCTTCCTCGTGTGTGTTATATATTGTCTCCGATTACGTCATCACGTGTAGCTTTGTTCCAAGAAAATTCACAGTCACATGGTGGCAAATTCGATTATACACAAATTTGTACTAATCGACTATACATTTAAAGTGTTTTCAGCTTTACTTTCAAAAAACACAATTGCCCACCAAGTCGTGCTGTTGTTCTGTGATACATATGACACATACTGTGGAATATGTTAGTTATTATACCCCGACTGGCTACGAATTACAATGAACAATATAGGAATGCGTGACATACTCAGATAGCAAGATCACGTGACGCTGAAACCAGCAAACAGTTTATTTACCTGCTTCACGGAATCTCGGAATTCTTCTTCCAGCCATGGTGCTAACAAACAAACGATTAAACAAAATTAAGGTAGAAGTAACTAATAATAACAGCGAAAGTAATTACTCATTTCTATACTGGGTTTTTGTGTTGCGCATTTAAATACTAATGCGAAATGAAACAAGTTTAAGGGTAAACGGAAGTCATAATAGTTTATTCCAAATCACTGTGATATGAAAATGTATTCAGACAGTCCTACGAATGCATGTCTCACCTGAATTCGCCTGGTACCACCAGTAGGACAAAGCCCCCAATGGTTAGCACTTGCGTATCGACAATCGTTGGATGGAAGTCCCAGGTAGCATCGGCCTGATATTAACAATATACAAACGTAATAATCTTTGGTTTGAGTTTATCACAACACAGCTGTACATTCTTAATACCAGAGGTTTGTCTTTGCAAATAATAGTCATCTTTAAATTCCTCGAAAATTTCCACGAAAGTCAAATTTCGCATTTTTTCTAATTATTGAACCCACCATCGATTAATATATTCAGTTAATAAAAAAAATTACCAAGACATTATAGGTAAATACATAGAAATATTGCACCAGAATGTCCAGATAACTATGTACGGCTCATACGATTATACTAACTGTGGTTATTTGAAAGTACAGAGGCATTTGATAATGTTGTATATCTGTTCTGAACCAGTGAACTAACCTCTCCAGTGGGCAACAGTACTGGTTTAGGCTCATGGCAATCAATAAGCTCTTGCGTAGGCTCTTTAATTGCGTCACGGACGCTATCCCAAAATGCACTGCCGGTAGTATCACCTTTTGATAAAAAAAAAACAAAAAAATGTATATAGTAAATTAACGTTGCATTATCTATTACATTATTTGAAATTTGTTAACATATGTAGTAATCTTGGGGGTCATGAACCCAAATCACATCATTGGCGATTCATGCGTGTCTGAATATGGCTAATTTACTAGAACATCGACCTAAACACCCTGTTAAGTACAATTAGCATATTTGCAGTCGCCCTTTAACTACCAGTTACAAATAATTGCCCCAGAGCTTGTGACATGTGAATTTAATAAATTCCAATGTCTAATCACTTAGGCATTTGCAATTCAATCAAGTATGTTTCAATGATTTTGTCAGTTTGGGTGATCTCATTGATCCGTGCAGGTGTATAACGCACTTTCGTCGTCATTGGGTAACATCGATCCTTTGCCGTTAAAACATTTGCGGGGCTTTGTGTCACAAAATATATTAGTACGTCTTGAAGTCCTTAATTTTTTATTACAGTTTGTAGTCTATCGTGTCATTAGAGTAGTTCGATATACCTTGAGTGAAATTGAAAGCTCCTGAACCATCGATGGTTCCCGCAGCAAAACTATAACCAAGGGCAGGTAGACACGTGGTTACCTGGAATGAAATTGAAATGTATTCTATTCGAATGATATAATGTTAAATATAAATTTTCTTTTAAATTCTGTACAACTAAATTAAAACTTTAATGCTAGAGAAATGTCAGTGAAAACGCCTGTCATAGAATATAGACACATTTTAGACGAGCACGACCCACATTCTACGAGAGTTACCCACCTCGGTTCCGTTTTTCAAAGGAAAAGTGAAGTTACCCATATCTACATATTGGTGAATGTAACCAACTGGCCCTGTCAAAGGTACACTCGTCTGTGCCTCGTCTTCGTATAATTCCTGTTAAATCAGTTGGAATCGACAATGATTACATAAGACTGTCAAGAAATATTCGATGTGAAAATATCCTGCTCCAAACCTCCTATTTCGAAATTATACACATATTTGTTAATGCATCGACATTAATATTGGGAGCATTAAGTATAGCATATATTCTGCTTACCAGTGCTTTAGCATATTGCCGCTCACCAATAATAGCGGTACTTTCGAACATGTTGTCCCCTGGACCAAATGCAACACAGAAATCCTCCTGTTGGATTTGGAAAAAGTTAACAACTATTCCATTTGTTGCGAAATGACACTAAAATGATGATATAGAACGTCACAATATAAATGACGACAATAAGACTACTAGATTATATAGTAACAAACAAATAAATGACTGACAGACAGAGAGCGTGAGACAATCACGTCCTCACAATACTATCAGGTCAGGACAATCCAGGGTAGTTCTCCCCATCCTACGTGTAAGGACAATCACATGCAGTTCTCCTTAAGTAGTTCGCCTAAACACCTAGTCCTCCTGCAGGGACAATCATGTGTAATTCTCCCTATCCTATTTTGTCAGGATAATCGTGCATAGTTATCCCAATTTCATCATATTGGGCGAAACACTTGTAGTTCTCCCCATTCAAACTTGACAGAAAAAGTTTCCGTAGTTCTTCCATCCTACCATGTCAGGATAATCACCCATAATTTTCCCATCTTAGTATGTCAGGACATTCACCCATAGCTCCTCCATCCTACCATGTCAGAATAATCACACACAGTTCTCCCATCCTCCTATGTTAGGAACATCACCTATAGTTCTCTCATCCTACTATGTCAAGAAATTCACACATAGTTCTCCCATCCTACTATGTTAGGAACATTACCTATAGTTCTCCCATCCTATTATGTCAGTAAAATCACACATAGCTGTTCCATACAACCATGTCAGGACAACCACCCATATTTTTCTATATCTTACCATGTCAGGATAATGGCCTATATTTCTCCCTATTATACCTTATACAATCACCCACAGTTCTCCCATTCTACTATGTCAGGACAATAACCCATCGTTCTCCCATCCTACTATGTCAGAACAATCATCCATAGTTCCCCCATCCTACCTTTTCAGGACAATCAACCGTAGTTTTCCCATCCTACTATGTCAGGACAATCACCCATATATCTCCCATCCTACTATGTCAAGAAAATTACCCATAGTTCTCCCATCTACCATGTCAGGACAATCACCCATAGTTCTCCCATCTAACTATCTCAGGACGATCACCCATAGTTCACTCATCATACTACATAAGTACAATCATTTATAGTTCTCCCATCTTACAATTTCAGGACAACCAACCATAGTT